TCACTGCGGGTGCCGAGAGCCCCGAGCCCCCAGCCACACCGGATCTCCCTGGTGCCAAGTGCCCGTCCTGCAGCTCTCGAGGGGCCACCAACAATCGCCTCGTTGGAATGAAGTCACTTCTGTCACCCAGGAAATTCCGAGGGCTCTGGGCTCTGAGCCAGGAACCGGGCAGGGGACAACACAACCCGTCCTTCTGTAGTGAGGCGGCAGGACTTGACGAATCTTTGGGGTGGGGACAACTCGAGCCAGAACGTCCCCCCGTTACATTGCACACGGCCCTAACACATGGACACGTATACAAACGTATCCCGGGAAGTCCCCGCCATCGGTCTGTCAGAGGATGAGGCCCACACGGCCCCACGCACCAGGACGCCCGAGCTGGGCCATGCAGCCACCCCTGGCCCGGCGCGAACAGGCCTCCAGGGGCTGGCCTTGGGCTGCGGCCGTGCAGCCAGGGGCCACGCAGTGTGGCCTACTCTTTGTCTGTGGCTCACTCACACGGAGCCACTCCATAACAGTTCTCAATGTGTCAACTCTCCTTGAGAGTTGTAACTCTTGGTTGCACAGAGCCATTGCGAATGGGACAGGAAGCAAGATTCTAAAGCATTTGCAGTTTGGGGACACACAGGTCTAGGCCTGAATACGTTTCACTGCTAATGAGCTCAGTAACCCTCAGTGAGTTAATAAACGTTCAGTAAACGTTTCGAAGCCTTAGTTCATGCACCTATAAAATGAAAACTCTTGCCACTGACGCCTAGCACCATTTTGGGGATTAACTAAGTGAGCCTCGTGGGGGTGCACAGAGCAGGCAGTCAGCAAGGGGACCCGTCCAGCTTGTGTTGAAAATAAACACTCGAGCAAGGGAGCTGTCCCTTCCGTGGGTGACTAACGATAACATCGTCGCGGACGGCGGCATTTCACGTAAATACAGCACCCGTCGCTTTTCACCGAGATTACGATTTGTGGGTCGGAGCGAATCGGCTCCCTCCCTAGTCACTGCAAAAACAGTCAGGTCACGACGGGGCGGGGGACCCGGATCCGCGCCCACCGCACGCATCGCCTGGCGCTGGGAACGGGCCGCACGCTTCCCGGCCGACG